GGGGGGAGGAAGATCCCATGAGAAGCTGGTGGGGGTGGGGGGGAGGGCGTCCCCATCTCTGAAGGGTCCCTCTGACCCCTGAAGTCTCCCTTCTCCCTTCCCCTTGTGTGAACTATCCCCTCCCCCGCTGGTCTCAAGGGAGATTCCCGCGGGCCCGCTGAGTCTGGCAGGCTCTGTGCCAGGCCTGTGTCTCCCGCCCATGCTAACAGCTGCAGCTGACATCTGGCTGGGCCCTGAGGGGGTGCAGCAGTGGGGCAGCGGTGGGGGGCTGGGCAGGGTGGGGGCCTGGAGGACAGCACCCTGGGAAGGTCCCTTGGGCCAGGAGGCTACCATGAGTCAGCCCTGCCCAGCCAGTGCTGAGGTGGGCTAGGCCAGCGGGATCTAGCAGAGGGGGTCAGAGAGGACCAGACAGGCAAGTCCCAGATGCCAGTGGACAGGCGGAGCCTAGGGGCCAGCAGGGGTGGGGGTGGTCAAGGCAGGAAGAGATGTCAGGGGAACAAAGGGAAGCAGGGTTCCTTTCATGGAGACAGAGAGACTAGAGACTCTTAAAATGGGCAGACCGGCTGAAAAAATAATAATAATAATGATTATTTTAATAGCCAACACTTAGATGAACTCTGACTTACTTATATGGCTAGACACTGCTCTAAGTGGTTGATGCATAGTACTAAGTTATTAAATACCTCCAACAACCCAGAAAAATACATGCTATTGGGTTTCCCATGAAAAGAGGAAAAACTGAGGCACGGGCGCTGGAGGCCTTCGGCTAACATCCCACAGCTGAGTTTATTTTTTGTTAAGATCATTTTATTGGGGGCTCTTACCACTCTTATTTTTTTTTTTGCTCTTACAACTCTTATGACAATCAATACATCAGTTGTATCAAGCATATTTGTACATAGTTGCCATCATTCTTTTCTAGATATTTACTTTCTATGGAGCCCTTGGTATCAGCTCCTCTTTTATTCTTCCCCTCCCCACACACAGCTATTAGTGGTGGGTAGAACCCAGGAGGCAGCCTGGCTCCTGAGCACCAGCCTCTAGCCTGTAGACCATCATCATCCCTACCAGAGAGAAAAACAGGCTATGTCCAGGTTGGGGAGAGGGATGTCCAGGGAGGAGGGGGCTTTTGGGGAGTGGGAACTGGGAGCCATGCTCTGCAGACCCTTCCTCCAAGGGCCTCCTGCAATCTAGAGAGAGACAGATCTGGGCCCTGGGAGAGCAAGTAAGGGTGGATGTGCACAGGTCACTATAGGGGTCACTTTGAGCACCCTGCTCCCATGTTTGGGCAGGGGGTGGGGTTTGGGCTGTGGAGGGAGGGTGGGGGCCCAGTTGAGCTGGTACAGCCGGTTCCAGGCCCCTGCCAGTCTCAAGCTTGTGGCCTGGGCACCACCCCCTCAAGCCGCCCTACTGGCGCCAAGGCCAGCCCCGTGAGGAGAGGGAGAAGCAAGCCCCCTCCCTCACTTGGGCTGGACACCCAGACTGGCAGCGAGTACTGCCCAGTTCATGGGACCCAGACATGTATCTAGCTGTCCAGTCTGTGCACCTCCCCATTTCCAAGGACCCGGGACGTGGCTGGGGTGGGGGGTGGGGGGGGTGGGATAAGGGGAAGTTCACCTACCCCCACCCACAGGTCTCTCTGGGGGTTTTGGCTTTGGCATGAGAGACTTCCTTCTTACAAACAGCCTGGTGACCCCCTCCTCTCCTGGCCCAACTGACCGACAGGAGCTGGACCAGGAAACTGGGCCTGGGGCTGTCCTGAGTCAGCCAGTGGGCAGGCCAGGGCGAGAAGCCACAAGTCTCAGCACCCAGCCTCCAGCGTCCCTGCCCCTGGGTGTGGACAGGCAGCTGGGCAGGAAGAGGCTGAGGATCGCAGAGGCCTCCCCCCAAGGACCTTTGGCCTGCCAGCCCTCCCTGTCACCAGAGTGGTCTGGGGGGCACATGGCACTGGAAGAACTCTTCACCCTTCTCCAGGAGAGGGATTTTCTTGGAATCAGGATGTAGTATTGGTCTCTCTGGGCTGACTCAGCTGGGCATTGGGTGGGGGCTGTTTCCCATAAGCCGATTCTGTCCCACTCCTGTTGGTGAGGTTTGGGGGGACCCTGTCCATCACTGAGGTTTCTCTATGGTGACCCCTTTTCTGTGAGTAAGGTTAAAATATAGGCCTATAACCCCACTAGGGGGTCAAGGATGCTGAGCTGAGTGTCCTAGGGGAAGTGACAAACAGTGGGAGGGAGGGGGGAATGGGGGTGATGTTTGGGGAGAGGAAGTACCAAGATTTCAGCAGGGGTGGGGGTGGGGAGCTGGGACGAAGGAACAGCATAGAACAGGCTGGGAATCCCTGAGCCCCACAGAACCCAGCACCATGGGCCCAGGGGGCATGTGC